TTATAACATAAATGAAATCTCTCTCTCTCTCTCTCACACAGCCCAAGTTATCAGAGCCGGCCATCGCCACTAATCACAACAAGCAGGCTCTTCTGTCCTTCTGGTATAACGTCTGCGTGGACTGCAGTGAGAACGTGCGTCTCATCGTCCAAAACCCTGTGGTCACTAAAAACATCGCCTTTAACTACATCCTGGCGGATCACGACGATCAGGAGGTGGTGCTGTTCAACCGCGGGATGCTCCCGGCGTACTACGCCATCCTGCGCATGTGCTGTGAGCAGTCGCCCGCTTTCACCCGCCAGCTGGCGTCGCACCAGAACATACAGTGGGCCTTCAAAAACCTCACGCCGCACGCCAGCCAGTACCCGGGGGTGAGTGCTGACGTTACCAAGGAGAACAGAAGAAACGTGTATTTTACTTTAACTTATGGGGAAGTTTATCAGTAACTACACTAGTGTTGAAAAGTTTGGAGTTGGTCAAAATTTTTAATGTTTTGACGATGAAAGAGTCTCTTCTAGAGAACTGTTTTCTTTTTGAATATAGTGTAAAATGTAATTTATTCCTGTGATCAAAGCAGAATTTTCAGCATCATTACTCCAGTCACATGATCCTTCAGAAATCAGTATAATATGCTGATTTGTTGCTCAAGAAACATTTCTGATTATTATCCATGTTGAAAACATGTTGTGCTGCTCATAAAAATATTTGGATTAGGATTCTTTGAAAGCCTTTATGTGAAATAAAACTTTTATGACCACATTATAAATGGTCAATTTAATGCAGAATCATCATTTTGTTATGTATATTATATATATTTCTAATTAATGGTATTGCTAGAAAATAATGAAATCAAACAAATCAGTGTTTAAACTCTGTGTAGATGTCTCCCAAATTTTGATAACAGGGTGGCAAAGTAAAATGTAGAATAGAATAAAATAAGACTGTGTGTATAATAATGCTGCATTCAGTTTGACCTCCTGAAATGTACTAACAACATTTTCTGAAAGTTAAGAAAAATTCATTGACCTTTTTTTTTTTTTTAAGCCTATTTTAATGAAGAGTGTCTGAAGGAATATGATGTCTGAAGTTACGCTTCATCTATTACTGAGGTTAATTCAGTTCCGTCAGGTAACACTGTTTGTTGTTTCTCTGCAGGCGGTGGAGGAGTTGTTTAACCTGATGCAGTTGTTTGTAGCTCAGAGGCCTGATATGAGGGAGGAAGAGCTGGAGGACGTGAAGCAGTTCAAGAAGACCACCATCAGCTGTTACCTGCGCTGTCTGGACGGACGCTCCTGCTGGACCACGCTCATCAGGTACACACACACACACACACACACACACGCTCTTTAAAGACTCACAGAACGTTTTACACGCCATTTGCGTTCCTACTTAGGGGCTGTTTATGTAAAAACGTAAAACTTTTTATGCGTTTTGACCGTTTGTTTACACGACAACGGCGTTTTGGGGGCCTGAAAACGGAAAGTTTTGAAAACGATCTCCATGTAAACTACAAAAACGCAAATCTGTGAAGACCATAGACTGTAAAAAAAGATGGACGACGCCCCTTCGCTCTCTTCCATTGGTCAGAAGTCTGTGCAGAAGCGATCTCGGGACCAGACATGCGCAGTAGTGAGCAGGAAGTAAAGCCGTGAAATCAAGGCCCTGCCCTCACTCTCGCAGAATCAATCCCAAGCACACGCTCCTACACTTTTTTAAAATTAATTATAGAAATTTAGATATAAAATTTAAAGCTCCAATCTCCTCAGTCCTCCGAAGATCCCGAAAAAAAAGTCTGTTGGTGCTTCAGTGACTACTTCACTCAGAGAACCTGTCAATCACAGCTGTCAATCATGACGTCACGACCACCGCATCAAATAACGAACTAAAAACAAAATTATTTTAAAAACAAACTCTTGAAATTACATCAGCGTGATAAAAACTACCGTTAATGACAGAAACCATCTTTGGAAAAACGATATTTGAAGTGTAATGTAATTGTTTAGTTGGTCTCACGTGCCGTTGAATAACATGGGGAGGCGGGGCTTATGACCTATACTAGGACCGGCCACCGGGGGGCGATCGAGACGTTTTGGCTTCACTTTTCAGTGCTTGTGCGGCACGCTTGGTGAAGACGATGATGTCATGCACATGCGTTTTACATGTTCAGGCTATAGTGTTTCATCGCCATCTAATGGCCTGGCAGCAGAATGCAGTGTTTTTAGTCATTTTTGCAGATTCGATCGTTTTGACACTGGTGTCGTCTGTACGCGGAAAACTCAAAGGAAAAACGCCCCTGTTTTAACCATATCGTTGTCGTGTAAATGTACCCTAAGACTCTGTGTGCTCTCAGTGCCTTCCGTATCCTGCTGGAGAACGATGAGGACAGACTGCTGGTGGTGTTCAACAGAGGACTCATCCTCATGACTGAGGTATTCATGCTCTCTTCAGTCACTTTCTTCATTCATCTGCATATTTTAATGGACCGTCGTGTACAACTGAAAATTTCTGTGTCTGCAGTCCTTCAACACCCTGCACATGATGTACCATGAGGCCACCGCGTGTCATGTGACCGGTGATCTAGTGGAGCTGCTGTCCATATTCCTGTCTGTTTTAAAGGCAACGCGACCCTACTTACAACGTAAAGGTAGTACGTTACCCACAATACACCACTCACTTAAACTGGAGTTATAGGATTACCCATAATACACATTAACGTTCAGTACAAAAGTACTCATTACCCATAATACACATTAACGTTCAATACAAAAGTACTCATTACCCATAATACACCTTAACCTGCAGTACAAAAGTACTCATTACCCATAATACACATTAACGTTCAATACAAAAGTACTCATTACCCATAATACACCTTAACCTGCAGTACAAAAGTACTCATTACCTTTAACCCACCTGAAGCATCAATACTCAAGTAGCCCATTACCCATAATACATCTTGACATCCAATCCAAAGGTTTCAATTGCCCATAATGCACTTGTACATGTAATGTCAATAACTGATCGCTTGTGTCTGTGTGTAGATGTGAAGCAGGCTCTGATCCAGTGGCAGGAGAGGATTGATTTTGCCCATAAACTGCTGACGCTGCTGAACTCTTACAGCCCGCCAGAGCTGCGTAACGCCTGTCTGGGTGAGTCGCCACATCCACGAAACACAAGCACTGCTTTAGAAATAACCCCCGAGTGTGATGATCTGAACGTGTGTGTGTGTGTTGGTCCTCAGATGTGCTGAAGGAGCTGGTGCTCTTGAGCCCTCATGACTTCCTGCACACACTCGTGCCCTTCCTGCAGCACAACCACTGCACGTACCACCACAGCAACATCCCCAGTGAGTCCCTCCTGCAGCCGCCATAGACATACGTTACATGAATTAAATCCAAGTATAAGAAAAACCTTTTTAGTACTTTCAAATCTAGGTGTGATTAAGTTGTTTTACTAGGATCCATTTAGGAGATTCACACGAGTGGCTTCCCAATTTGCGTACTTACAACTTTTTATTCAGTGCGATGTTATTTTAGTATTATTGATATTTTTATTTTATTTCAAGCAGCATTTTTTCTTATGGGTTTAGTGTCTAACATTTGTCTTGATTTAACATTTTTTATATACCATAACTTTTTTGTTAATTGTATGACTTTAGCCTTCTTGTTGACATGGCGTTAAAAACAATTAATAAATGATAATGCTATGGTCACCACATGGTATAACAGTATTTGTGTGTGTTGTATAGTGTCGTTTGGGCCGTATCTGCCCTGTAGAGAGAACATCAAGCTGATGGGCGGGAAGAACAACATTCGTCCTCCCAGACCCGAGCTCAACATGTGCTTGTTGCCCTCAATGGTGGAGACCAGCAAGGTGTGTGTGAGACCAACCAGTGGACCGCTTTACAAGCTGAGCTTCAGTTGTTCATAGAGTGTGTTTGTGTGTTTCCTGTAGGGTAAAGATGAGGTGTATGACAGGATGTTGTTGGACTACTTCCTGTCGTATCATCAGTTCATTCACCTGCTCTGTCGAGTCGCCATCAACTGTGAGAAGTTCACAGAGACTCTGGTGAAACTGAGTAAGAACGCTTCTCTCTCTCTCCGCGCTCTTAAATCTCTCTTGAGTGTGTGTGTGTGTGTGTGTGTGTATTTGTGCTGATGGTGTTTGTTTACCTGTGTGCAGGTGTGTTGATCGCATATGAAGGACTTCCTCTACATCTGGCTCTCTTTCCCAAACTCTGGACAGAACTTGCTCAATCTCAGGTAAAACCTTCTCGGTCATCACACACACACACACACACACACACACGTACTAAAGCAATAAGACACTAGAGGTAAGAGGTGTTGTTGAGCATGATGGGATGTGGAGTGCCTGAGAATGTGCTAAAATCTGTCATTGCTTTGAATTTTTAAGTTACAAATTGTATATTTTATTATGATTATCTTATATTTTATTTAATATTTATAATAATATGAATAATTATTATGCATTTATTTATTTTTTTAGGGGTGAAAAAGGCAGTATGCATTTATTATACATCCTTTAAATTAATAATATAATGTATTTATTTATTTTATTGTTAATAGTGCAAAAGGGAGTATTACGCGTTAATATATTTGTTTTATTATTGTTAGGAGAGCAAACAGGAGTATGCATTTATTATACATCATACAAATTAAAAAATAAATTGTATTTATGTATTTATTTATTGTTAGGTGTGTGTTATTAGGGAGATTATGCATTTATTATACATCTTACAAATCACCAAAAGCACATTTTAAACAATTTTTAACAGAATACAATATTTGTATTATTAATAATAATGATAATATATATTTATATAATAGTATGCACATCATTATAATGCATTTTATTTATAGAGCTCTTTTTAAGGAACTCAAACACACTTTTATGAGACACAACATCAATCACACATCGAAAGCATTCCTAACAAGGTATACGTTTTAAATGTTAATAATAATCATTTTTATGCACATGCATCTCTACATCATCTCAGATTGATGATGCGTTATATGGGTTTTTCAAGCAGCAGATTCTTCAGACACATAACTATGAAAACACAGCAGCCTCATCCAGTCAGAAGTGTGTGTGTGTGTGTGTGTGTGTGTGTGTGTGTCATGACGTCTCTCTCTCTCTGTCAGTGTGCGATGGCTCAGTCGTGTGTGAAGCTGCTGTGTGAGGATCCAGCGTTTGGAGAATACATGAAATGCATCCTGATGGACGAGAGGAACTTCCTCAACAACAACATCGCCTACTCGTTCCTCACCTGCTTCTTACACAAGGTACACACAGACATATCTACTCTAGTCCTCACACAGTGTGAGTGTAATGGGTTGTTCAACACCTGGAGTCACGACACGACTCTCTCCAGCACTTGACTCTGATTGATCAGTTCTGTGCGTGAAAAATTCAACAGTCAATATAGGAATAACATTTTTCCTATTTATCTTTTCCTTTTTTTTTGCACTGGTCAATTTTGAGATTTTGGGATATTTGTCTTCAATAACATGTCGTCTTTCAGACTTGTGGTGAAAAAAAGTCAGAAATACACATTTACACATTTTACTACGCTTTGTCTGTTTGCGTCTGTAGATTTCTCATTAATTCCTCAAAAGTTGGCGATATAAATCATCCCGCTGCGCCGCGATCGCTGTCTGCACCCTGTCATTACACACACTGTTAGAAAGCTCTCTCTCGTACAATGCTGTCGGATCCAAATATGGTCATTTCCTTTTTATCAGCAACCAATCGTGAAAGTAAAAGGGCGCAAATGCGCAATCTCATTGGCTGATGCTAAATCTTTAAAGCCCGTTTTCTCAAAATGACTTTTCTCTCATTCTCCAAGTCCGAAATCTCCACTATCTATACACCAAACTTTCCAGTCTTGTACCTAGTTATATTATGAAGGCATTTACAGAGGGATTTGTAAATATATTATTCCTAGCCTGATTTATATAACATTTTATTCCAAAAAACATGGCAAAAATATATTTTTTAAGGCTATTGACAGTATATTCTGATTTACAGGATAACAAAAGTAGATATCCATAAATCCCTCTGTAATTTTTTCCCCATCTAATATGTGAACACAATGAAAAAATAATTTTGAACCTGGCTTTATCCAATACTCAGATTTCATTTTTTGAAATATATGCAAATTAGCGCATATTTAACCTGTTAATAACCAGCGCCCCCAGTACCGGACAGCAGTAATTTCTAAGCAACCACTGAAATGGAATAACACAAAATAGGTATCATTTTAAAGCATAGAATCTTTTTAATGCATCTAATCACTTTGATCAACTCCTAACGAGTGCTGAGTAATCCCTCTAAAACGGAGTGTACCGCCAGCTGGCTGCGATAAAAAATAATAATAATATTTTTCAAAAATATTACCTTGATCAACTTAAAATAGGTGTCATTTGAAAGCTTAGAGTCTGAAATTTACAATGAATGTAGCCAATTCGATAACTTCCTAAGTAGTGCTGAGTTATTTGCTGATAAATAGAAAAAAAATGTTTTCATAATTTATGAAGTACTTTTTTGTACTACATACTACAATATGTCAAATACATCATACAGCTCAGATAGTCATGTGCCATATGTCATTTGAAAGGTCTCAATGAGTAGAATACAACAAGCATAATTGTTTTGGGCTTTTTACTAAACTTGAGTGAGGTTTTGTACAAGAAGCCCCTCAAGAGACCCATATGTAAATCATATAAGGATGCATAATTTAAGAAACATTTCCACTTGTAACTTCATTAAACATACTCCCATTGTGGGAAATGACACATCATTATTTACAGCAGATTCTTACGATTAAAATGAGTCCAAACTTAACATAATCCATCACTCAGAACTAAAGATATTCCTCATGGATTTCTACCACAAAGAGAATCCACAGACGCACGTAGCCAAGCAAGGTAGCTTAGACTTGGCCTTTTCACTCGTATCTTCATGAAAGATACATCGATCATGAAAAATGACATATCGTTATTTACAGCAGGAGCTCACGATTTAAAAAGAGCCCAAAGTCAATATATTCCATAAATCAGATCTAAAGATATTCCTCATGGCGTTCCAACACAAAAAATACCACAGACGTACCTAGCCAAGTATATACTGGTGAAGCACTCGCGTTGGTTTTTCGCTTATAACTTCATGAAACATACACAGATCGTAGGATATTGCACATCATTATTTTCAGCAGACTCTCACGATTAAAAAGAGCCCAAACACAGCATAATCCATCACTCAGATCTTAAGATATTCCTAATGGAGTTGTGACACTCGAACCCCCACAGGCGCACATAGAGCCTTGTATATAGATGGAGCACTAATGCCGCGATTTCACTCATAACTCAATGAAGCATGCATAGATCGTGTAAAATGGCACATCATTATTTACAGCAGATTGTTAAGATTAAAAAGAGCCCAAACTCACCATAATCCATCACTCAGATCTAAAGATATTCCTTATGGACTTCTAACACATGACGTTGCACTATGCGCACCAATGAAGTAGCAGTAGCAGCGATGCTATGTTGTTTTGATGTGACGTTTCAGCTCATAACTCCATGAAACATGCATGGATTGTGAAAAATCGAACATCTTTATTGACAACAGATTCTCACGATTACAAAGAGGCCAAACACAACATAATCCATTGCGTTGATCGTGAGATATACCTCACGAAGTGATGCATGCTTGGCTAAAAAACATGTCTCTCATCTTTCCGGGATGCAATGTGTTTTCCAATGTTCCTGGAGCCATCCGTGCTTTTTTCAAACGTGGGATAACACAAAATATGTATCATCTTAAAGCTTAGAATCTCAGCTTTTTAAAGCATCTAACCACTTCGATCAACTCTGAACGACTGCTGAGTAGTCCCTCTAACTCTGACGGCACCGCCCGCGGGGGCCACCTGGCTGCGAAAATATTAATTATCATATTTTTCAAAAATATTGCCTTGATTAACACAAAATAGGTGTCATTTGAAAGCTTAGAGTCTGAACTTTACAGTGAATGTAGCCAATTTGAACATCTCCTAAGTATTGCTTAGTAATTTGCTGATAAATAGAATTTATTTTTTTCATAATCTATAAAATACTTTTCTGTACTATGTACTGCAATTGCCAAAAACATAATACAGCTCATGAAACATTCACAGATCGTTGAAAATGGCACATCATTTTTTACAGCATACTATTACAATTAAAATGAGCCCACAATGAACATAATCTATTGCGTTTATGACAAGATATTCTCCATGGAGGAACAATTTTAAAAATGCCCATTAGGGGGCGTCAATGACTGAACAAAAAGCCTGGCTTGGTTCCAAATGCTGTAACTTTTGATTCCTTTATCCAATCACCACAAACTTTTATCCAGATGCAGCTCACATGTAGAGGGACTTCACCAAAAAAGAATTTTCCACCTACCTTATTTACTTCCTGAGTTATTATATGTCAAATAAGAAAGATATGCAAAATCATAATAAAAATTATATTTATTTGTTGTCTTTTATCAGCAGTTTCTTGGCAGGAAAATGTCCAAATGTAATTTATATTTTCAAAAAAAATGAAAAGTGTTCTATCAAACGATACCTACCTTTTGACTCTCCTTGCTATAGTTTTGGAGTTATGAGTCTTTAGTTTTGTGTGTCACTCAGAAAACAACCATTTTTTATTGCCTTTCAAATGTGTGAGGACTAAACAAAAAGGCTACCTTTGTTCAGAATGCTGTAACTTCTGAATACTTTATGCAATCACCACAAAATTTGATCCAGATGCAGGTCACCTGTAGAGGGACTTTACCAAAAAAGAATTTTTGAGCTACCATATTTCCTTCCAGAGTTATTCCATGTCAAACAAGAAATATATGCAAAATCATAATAAAATTATATATATTTTTGTCTTTTATCAGCAGTTTCTCAGCAGGAGAATGTCCAAATGTAATGTAATTTATATTTTCAAAAAATTTGAAAAGTGTTCTATCAAACAATACCTCCCTTTTGACTCTCCTTGTTACAGTTTTGGAGTTATGAGTCTTCACTTTTATGTGTGTCTCTCAGACAAAACAACTCAAAAATGGCTTCAGTGCTTAACAGGTTAATTAGATAATGCCTAATTTGCATATTTAAACATTAAATTACAGAAAACTTGTAATACATTTTTTTCTCATCTTAATGCAGGTAATCAACTGGGAATGTTTCATGGTGATATCTGCTAGTTAAAAAAATTACCCTATTCACCTGTTGTGTCTCGCCTTAATATGTTGAATACATTTTTCTGAAATGATTAGACTTTTTTTTTTTAATTTATTCAATGCTGCAAAAACTCATTTTGCCATAATGCACAATTTATGTGCAACGTTATAATTTCAAAGGTGACATGTTTAACCCGGAGTTAAGCTTACTTTGTAAAAGTGGTTCCTTTGCTCTGTGACACTGACCCTGTCCTGCTGCGGTGTGTGTGTGTGTTTAGGTGCAGGTGCAGGTGTTATCAGGCCAGAGCTGCTCGAATCTCGTCAACGTGTTGGTGACCAACCTTCTGAACGAGTACCACAGCCTGCAGCCTGAGCTGACCAATCAGAGAGCAGAGATGAGCAAGACCAGCAGCCTCCTAAACGCGGTCAGTACAGCTCCCTCCTCGCGCCTGTGCCAGCGCTCTCTCGCTCTTCCCTCATGGTGTGTGTGTGTGTGTTGCAGGACCTGCGAGCGCTGCTGCTGGTGCTGTCCGTGTCCACCCCTCAGCATCTGGATCCGGCTCTGGGTCCCGCTCTACAGGAGCTGCTGTCCAAGTGCAGACTGTGTCTTCAGCACCGCGCAACACTAGAGCTGGAGGCCAAGGAGCGCAAAGCCAAAGGTCTCAACATACACAAACACACTTACATAATCTATTATTAATATTATTATATTCTAAATGAAATCATTCAAAAGCAACACATGATGGGGATTTTATTATTTTTTTATGGCACAAAAATGCATTTGACAAAATTGCATCGATAAGTATGCATTTCTTGTGCATCATGGCTTTGAATTATTTTATTTGAAATATCATAATCATAATAATGACAATAACAACAACAAGAAGAAGAATTGTTATTGTTAATAATTATTTAATAAATTGGTAGCAACATCTAGGGGCACAAAAAGGGATTTCTTGTTCATTGTGGCTTTGAATTTTTTTTTTATCTGAAATATAATAATCATAATAATAGTAATAACAACATCAAAATAATAATAATTATAATTAGTTATTTAATAAATTGGTAGCAACATCTAGGGGCACAAAAAGGGAGTATGCATTTCTTGTTCATGATGGCTTTGAATTATTTGATGTAAAATATAATAATTATTTATTTTGTTAAATTACCAAAAGCACATTTTAAACAATAATTTACACGAATAACAATAATTTAAAATGACAGAAAGCTGTATTTTTTGTTAATAATATTAATAATAATAGTATTTTGTTTAATATAATTTGTTTATGAATGTGTAAATGTTTGTTTATGAATGTGTGAATGTGTACACATGTATTGATCTACATTATTGACATTATGTATAGTTTTATTATTATATATTCTGTTTCTTCTATTTAAATAGCACCATTGAATGTTTTATTAGTATATATGCAATTAATACATTTATTTTCTTTCTACCTCTCCCTTTCATTTGGTTATTTATTTAATTTATCTCTCTCTTTCTCTCTCTCTGTCTCTCTCTCTTTCTCTCTCTCTGTGTCTCTCTCTCTCTTTCCCCCTTTCCTTTCTTTTTCTCTTTCCCCTATTCTATTTAGTTAATAATTTATATATGTATAAAGGGATTTGATTTTCAAGGTACTCAAAGACGCTTGAAATGAGACGTGGCATTAATCACACATTAAAAATGCCTCATTTTGTCTTTGCTGTCCTCCTCAGCGGAAGAGGAGGGTGTGACTCCAGTGAAGCGTCGGAGAGTGAGCAGCAGTGCTGACGATCGTGCAGGAGACGCTCCCTCCTCCTCATCCTCCTCCTCATTGGCTCCCTGCTCCGAGCAGAAGGCGGAGCCCGGGGAGGCGTTAACGCCCACCAGCACGTCGGACACTGAAACCCGAGACTCCTCCCTCATCGACCCGGGAACGGAAAACGACCCGCCCTCTCCCGACAGCGCGTCCCTCGAGGAGAAGAAAATGGACGCTTCGTCATCGTCATCATCTTCGTCTTCGTCGTCATCCTCCTCTCTTCCCGAAGCATTCGGCCGAGCGGACGAAGCTCCGCAGCAGATAGCGGGAAGAGAGGAGGAGGAAGAGGAAGATGGGAGGAAGGAACCGCAAGAGCAGGAGGCGGAGCCAGAAAGAGAGGAAGTTCCCTCCACTTCCGCCGACTCGGTGCTTTTACTGTCCAGTTTGCCGGAAGCCTCTGAGGGGCGGAGCTGCTCGCTCCAGGAGGCGGAGTCAGGCGGCTGTGGCCACGCCCACATGCAGGATTCCCTGGAGATGCTGTCACGCACAGTCGAGGCCACTATCGGGGTGGTTGCCAAACTTTCGAACGGAAAAGGAGGGACACGCCCCTCGGCATTGTGACGTTACTTTTCACATCCCTCCTTTTTCGCATTTCACCATTTCCGTTCGCCATGCTGTTCAGTTTTGTCTTTTTAAAGAGTAATTGAAGTCCGATTTGTCAACTTTTTTCTTTTTTTTTTTTTTCTCCACCCTTTGGCCTTGCTCTTCACCAACTGAGCTCCACATTAATTGAACAGAACGAAAAGCGAACGATATCAGCTGGAGCGTATTTTCGTCAAAGGGCGGTTGTTTTCTTTTTTAAGCCGTAATTGTGTTGGTTTATTTGTTTTGAAGTGGTTTGTTTTCGAGCCTGCAGTGAAACAGGGAAAAGGTTTACAACATTTTAGTCCCATCAGTGCATAATTTAATTTTGCGTTTTTATTCACGTGTATTATTATTAAAATTACGATTGTCTTCTGTGCCAGTTTTGTACTTACAGACGTGAGGCTGAAATGGCCTTGCTGTGGGTTTTTTTTCTCTGTGGTGGATATCAAAAACTATGTTTACTTTGTATATTGAAAAGAAAGAACGAACCACAAGAACCTTGATTCTGTAAAGAATCTTCTAGATGTTGCCTGGCTTTGTAAATGAGATGGTTAAAATATATATACATATATATATATATATATATGTATATGTATATATATGTATATATATATATGTTTCTGTAAGGTATATGTATACAGTATATATCCATTCAAGCGCAGTATACTGTATATATAAATCTGCTGTATATATATATACCTACGTTGTGTATATAGAAACTTACGGTGCTCTTTTCAGGCTCAGATCATTTGTGGCCGGAATATTGCACATTTGATGGAACAGTTGGAGCTCTATTTTATTTACCGAAATACATTCCATAATCTATTGGATGTCATTCTTGCGTTCTCTGTATTTGATTTCTCTCTCAGTCTTTCTGTTTTCATTTATTTTAATATAGGATATAACTTAATAAAATTTTAATATGATTTAATTATGAACCGAGTCCAAAAAGCAGGTTGTGGAATGTTTTTTTTTCTCTTTCTGTTGTGAGTGTAACTAAGATGGCTGCGTTCGGAATAGAATATTAGCTATATAGTGTACACTGCATACTTCCTATTATTATTTTTTTTTTTTTTTAAACAAAACGGTATGCTGTAAATGCAATGATAAACATTTCAAATAATAGTATGTTGCATTCAGACAGAAATGCTTGTTTGCCATTCAGATCAGATTAATGTAAAAAGTTTGTATACTACACATTTTGGCATTTATTATGCCGTACTAAATGATACTCTAGAAATAGTGTGCTATTCTGAACACAGCCCAAATCTTCAGGAGATCTGCACGTTTAAAGTGAGGGTTGTGGATTGGTCTGTGGTAATTACACACACACACACGGACGCACGCACAATTATTAAGAAACATTTTTAATGAGTTCTGATGGATATTTATGTCAAAGATGCAAATTTAAAAGCATTACACAATTTTGATACACAATCATAGCTTAGATGGTTAAAGTGCAAAAGCCTACTATTATTCGTAAACAAGTTTTAGGATGTCTCTTTGTGAAAGACCACGTTAAAAAAAATGAATTAGCAAAATTCAAGGCAGTTGAATGTACATATATCTATACAAAAGGAGATATTTGCTCTTCCAAAACCAGGTGAGTCAGTGTCCTTCTCTTACTGAAGTGGAAAGTTCTGCATAGACAGCGACACAAGAAGTGCATAGGAGACTCGACTAGTGTTAGCATGTTGCTAAGCTAATGTTAACAAAAATACATCGCAAAAATGTTGGCTATGGAACTTTTAATTGTTAATTTTCATTCACTGAAATAAATATATTTATATTCAACATTTCTCTCCATCTTGTCACAATGCGTCATGGGATTAGTTTGAATCTTTTTTTGGAATAGCCTTTAATAGCGCGGTTGATAAAAGTTTTACAACAGTGTGTCAGAATTAATTGTGAACCTCGTGAAGTGTTGTGCTGAGCGGGATGGAGGAGTTTTGATCCATCGAGGTGTTTTCAGAGGGAAGAGATGCTGGGTCCGGCTTTCAAATTTATGTCATTTTCAGAATCTCTTTCAGAATCGGGCCTGTTATTAAACTTAACCTGAAAAACAGAACATTTTTAACGTGAAGCTTTTCAATTCCACAACCTGAATATTGTCAGAATTCGACTTCATTGATTTGTCATTAGCAAGGTCATCTAAATCGAGTGCTTTAACGTTACCTCTTTGACTTCTTGTTTTCTGCTGTTAACAGAAGAAACATGTTTAGTCAAACATCTCGGAACAAAACTCAAGCACATTTTGTATTTCAAATCAAAATTTTAACAAGTATGAGAGTAACTGTTTGCATCTGCTCTTTAACAATAGTGGCACTTACCTGTGAAAGTGAAAACTTCCGCCAATATTGAAGCGCTCTCTGTCAGAATCTGTGTTCTTCATTTTCTTCATCCTGAGGCAGCAAAAAAAAAAAAAAGGATCCACTTAAAAAAAAAGTTTACCACTAAAAGAATGAGTATTTGTAAAATGTTCAAAGTCAACAAGAAAGTCACTTCTGTAACATGACATTTCTGAATGTTACAGGATCTTCAACAAGACAACATATATGTAAGACGGGACTTGGGTCTATCCATCAGAAATGGCAAGTTATCACATTTTGATTAAAGAATGCAAACCTCTAGGATGACGTGCATGTTTTAACTCCTCCCCCCCAGCATTTACTAAAAGAGTTGCTAGTCAGCGCCAGCATTTTTTAAAAATTCACAAATATTTTATTTTGTTGTAGGTATACTGTATATCAAAAGAAAAAAAACTGAGAAAGATCCATTTTTCTCAAAGACTTTGTCCAGATCGAATTCAGATTTACGATCAAAACATAGATGGAGTCCTTCAACACCCCAAAGCTTCACAGTCGTATTCCTCTTTGTGATTTCGACATTTTTCTCTGCAACTTTCGGCTGATTTATATGCTGTTGAATGTTTGATGATGACGTTAGCTAACTTGTGCCCCAGATAGCACAAGCCTAGTTGATGTGATGTTTACATCTGGAAGACGTATTTTTAAGAGTGTTTGCTCATCTGCAATACGTCTATAGGACGTTTCCTGTCAGATGTCAAATAGACGTTTAGAAGATGTCTTTAAGATGTAATGATTTAGAATGCATGTTAAACTGACATCTTCTAAACGTCTATTTGATATCTGACAGGAAACGTCCTATAGACGTATTGCAGATGAGCAAACACTCTTAAAAATACGTCTTCCAGATGTAAACATCACATCAAATAGGCTTGTACTATCTGGGGCGTGAGCAACTTTTATTCGCTCCTCCTGTTTTATGCAGATCATCTTAGCTTGTTTTTAGATCCAAGTTGCTTGTACTATTTCAGTATAGCATCTTGGCAGCGGAATCTTGCCAACGGTGGGGAAAGAGTTAAAGTAAATGGGTCAGTTGTTTAGTTTTTGACTTTGTTTGTTATTTCTCCTTAAGAAAAGATTTCCAGGTCACCAGGACTATGGTTATTCAGTGTAAACCAGACAGCATGTTTGAAATCCAAAGAAAAAAAAACACCTTCTAATAACTTACCTAACGAGATAGACAGTCAACAGAGCGATAAGTCCCACAATGCTTATGGCCAGCAGAACACTGAGAGCGATGACGGCTGCATCACTGGAACCTTCGGAATCTTCAGAGATTCCAGAACTTTCCTCCACTTTGATTTCCAAATCGGAACCAAACACCTTCTCCAGCTCCACTTTTACATCGTTGTGATTACTCTGCAGCTTCCTGTGGGAGTCGACATAATTCAGATCCCTCAAAATAACGTCTTGTACATTATCTACAATGGAAACCTAGTAGACATGCAGGCCAGAGGGTTTAAAAGCAGAAGTGTGAAGCTCGTGTTTTTGTTAAAAAACATGAGTTCTTTATGAATATATTGCAGATTGCACATTTCCTTGTAAACTGATATTAGTTCAACTTACTCTTTGACCACCGTGGCTTGGATGACCACACCACTGGAGTCCATGGCGATGAAACTGACGTAAGTCTTGGCTGTAGATTCTCTAAGAATGGTGCGCTTCTCATTCCCATCCTCAGCTCTCACACTGAGGATTTTCACAGTCCAGCCTAAAACTTTCTTCATGGAACTGAAGAAAAACACACCAAATGAATCATTCAGTCTTATTTGGGAACTGGGACAAGAAGCTGTAAAGAACTCGCTCAAAAGAACGATTAATTCAAATATGATTGGTTCTCCAAAAAAGACGCATGCACACCATTCCAAGTCTTCTAGGCCTGGTTTCACAGACAGGGCTTAGATTAAACCAGGATTTGGCCTTAGTTCAATTAGTACATTTAAGTAGCTTTTATAAACGTGCCTTTGGAAAACAATATTTCTGGTGTGCATCTTGAGACAAAACAATAGAACTAACATATTTTAAGAAACATCAGTGCAAGTTGCTTTCAGCTAACAGCTCAAACATGCATTTTAGTCTGGGACTTTAGGCTTAAGCCTTTTCTGTGAAACCGGGGGCTAAACTCTAATATATAATTTTCCATTTGATAAGTTTGATGGCTAACAGCTTACATGCTAATAGCTGCTATTTCTGAGACCAAACTGTTTATATTCTTTGAAGAAACTGATGGTAGGTTGTTGCTTTGCAATTGCTAATATGTTTTGAGTGGTTTGTAGCACATATGTGGTGTTCTAGGTGGTATTGTTTTGTGGTTGCTAGTTTGTTGTCTGCATTTGCCGATGAAAAGTCGGCATTGCCATTGGAAATGGCAATTCTCCTACTCACTCTTCAATCTCTGGTGTCTTCTTCTCAACTGTGAACACGGGCTGGTTTAGGGAGATGACCACGGTATTGTCACTTGCAATTTCTTTCACGGTGATCTGTAGGTGGCACACACAAGAGCTTTGTGTTTTGATCTTTGATCTTTTAATTTTATTCCTTGCATTGACTGCTCTGTTCTACTGCACCATTCTCAATCAAAATGCCATTGGTCTTACAAAAGCATTCTTTTATTTTCTCTGTTTCTGCTCACCTGTACTTTTGTAGTCGTGAACAGCCCATGTTTGTCAGTGGCTTTAACCTGAAAGGTGGACGGATTGCCTCCAAATCTGGATGCATCCAGTACGTAGACCTGACCAGTGCTTGCCTCCACATCCAGCAGAGTTGTGGACTCCAGCAGGGAATACTGCAGTTCTGAGCTCTCGCCCACATCAGGGTCCGATGCCTGAGGGAAACACCACCACATTTCAGCCAGTTACGTAAATACAAAAAAATACATTGTATTAATTGCAATTAACAATTTGTCCAGTCTGTTCCTTTGAATATATACAATTCTGTGCTTTGTTGTGTATTTCCATTTGGAAAATTAGATGGATAGTAGCTTAGATGCCAATAGCTACTATTTCAGACACCAAAAAACCTGAAGAAACTGCCATGATGCTAGGGTGTTAACTCTACTTGTAAGCAATAAAAATGGTAATGCTTACCTTAGTTTAAAAAAACACTATATTTAAAAAATATCTGACTACATCCATTGCATTTATATCAGATGTCTATGCCAAGCCACACTCACCTGGACCTTCACTATAGGGAATTTGTATGGAGAGATACTGAAAATCTCTGCTTCATATATTTCAGTGTCAAACACAGGAGCCTCATTCACGTTCTCAACCTGAACGTTGACCTGAAGATTGTGAGAGAAAGTCAAATGCAAATATAAATGACCCCTGTGGCAGCTTTCTTTTAAGAAGAGAAACTTTGACTTTAAGTGTTGGAACAGCAAGACTTAGGCCAGAAACGCATTCTATGCAAATATGTGAATGCAAACACTTTTAGTTTCACAAACTTGAGTCATTGCATTCTAAAATGTGTCAGAACACAATTCATAATACAACAAAAGTACAACAATTCTCGGTTACATCCAGAAGTGCTATGGTGGCAATTGTGTTGTGTTGTTTTCTAAAGGTCAACTACTCAACATGTATTTTAGCTAGCTTCCCATGTCATAACAAGAATAGTACCGTTGTCTCTGCAGTGTTTGGAGGAGTTCTGGAGTCTATGGCTTCTACTGTGAGGATGTACCACTCCTCTTCCTCCTTGTCCAGCGGTCTCAGAGCTTTTATGGTTCCCTCACCATCCACAGAGAAGACATCCTCATGTGACTTCATGTTATAGCTGACCGTAGCCAGTGGACTTCCTGTTAATGCCTTGACCTTGCCCACTATTGAGGCCTCAGGTTCATTCTCCTTTATTGTGAACTTGTAGGAGGAGCTTTCAAAACTCACACTCTCAGTGAGAGAGGCAATTTTAAAGTAGATCAAGACTTCGGCTACAGAAAGAAGAAAGATGTTAATCTTGACTTGTTTATCAGATAAGATTTGAATATTGAAGGGGGAATTAACGGCTCCCAATAAGTATTGCTCACATTATCTGCATTGTTTTAACACCAGATTCACTAAAGGAATTACGCAAACTAAGCCCAAACCTTCATCAGATTCTGGTGGTGTTCCATGATCTGTCGCTATAGCAGTGAGGGTTAGCAGCGTGTCTTCTGTGACCTCGCTAAGGTCAGAGGTCAAAGTGATGTCTCCTGTGTCAGCATCCAATGCGACCATTGAGGAGCCTTCAGAGAAACTACAGAAACACAACATTCATGGATCTGTCTTAAAGGAGGGATGTAGGTAAGTGTGTTCATGGTTTATCCTTCATATTATTGATCCTAAAGAAATGGGAGTTTAGTCTTAAGCTTACCTGTAACTAATTAGCGCGTTGTTTCCAGCATCTTTATCTGTGGCCGAGAGCGTCAGCAGCACCTCTCCAACCTTGGCA